TTGGAATAGCCACAGACAATATCCATGATAAATAGAATCTATCTATCTATCTATCTATCTATCTATCTATCTATCTATCACGGCAATGAAAAATGCACCATTATTGTAGAATTACACACAAATGAATGAATCTTTAAAACGCAATGTTGAGACAAGCCTTAGACATGAGGAGTTAATTTATAGGGGCTAAAGAAGCAGATGAGGCATATTTATGCTATTAGACAGCAGAGCAGAAGTTACGTGTGGGTGGGTGGGTGAGTAGCAGCTGGACAGGGTCCATAAGGGCATGGATGGAAAGCTTCTGGAATTCTGTTTCTTAAATTGGATGATGCTGTTTACAAGGAAGTGCTTCCAGTTTGAGAAAACTTATCAGAACTACATTTTGGATCCATGCACTTTTTTCTGTTCTTCTTCAATAGGCATACAAGCAGTAATTTGAAATGGTTGATCATTTCCTCCATGAGGAAGATAAAATATGCTTCCTGGAATGTATACCCTTTGAAGAAGGGCATCTTTAACAAAATCTATAACACTGCTGTTTATCACAGCGAAGGACAGACCTTCATTGATCTACACAATTGCATTAGAAATGGACAAATGCATTTTGCATCATGGGCCATTAGTGGTTTGCAGAACACATTAAGAGCAACATCCCTGCCCATGGGCTGAAGTAAAAATAAAATATCAATGATATTTTATAATGTAAAAAATACACTGCATAGGGGTTTCCTTTCCACTCCCACAAAAGAAATTCACTACAAGACTTTGAGAGGAGGACAGTCCATCCCATAGTACAAGTCAGGAAACTGAGGCCCAGGGAGGGTTAAGACCCAGATCACTGGCAAAGATGGGCCTGACCCTCACTCTCTCTGGCAGAAAACCTTCCATACGATACCAGAGTGGATTTCCTATACACATTAAGAATATACAGAAGGACCAAAACCACTGCGGCTTCAGTGATGTTTTAAAACAAACCAATGCTTTATTGATCTTAGCTCTACACACATGTTTGAAAGGGGCAATGCATGCAAGTCACGATTTCTGTATTAACTGTGAATGTTCTGGTTTAGATCTGGAACGTCTCCCAAAAGCCTCATGCGTTCAGAAGTGGGGGCTTTTCAAAGCTGCTTTGATCATGGGACACTACACACACTGGCGGATGGACCCATTGATGAATTCACAGCTAAATGTGCTGTTGAGAGGTAGGTCCTGGTTGGAAGGAGGGTGTCCCTCGGCTGTGCCTCTGGAGGGTGCATCTGCTTTCTCAACTCCTCCCTTTTCTTTCTACTTCCTGGCTGCCATGGCATGAGCCACTGTCTTCCATCAGGCCCTTCTACCATGCTCTTTCTGCCGTGGAGCCAGCCAACCATGGACTGCATCCTCTGAACACCATAAGTTGACACCAACATCTTTTCCTTTAAATTTCACATTTTGGGTATTTTGCCCTAGGAAACCTAATGCATGAAAGTAGTGTTTACTGCATATAGGGATCATTATTATCCAAAGAGTTTGACAGTCAAATGGTCTATGGGCTGGAGATCAGAGAGCACAGTGTGAGGGCACTACAGAGAGGCTGGTTTCCAGCCTTGCTTTGGATGTGCTACTGAGGCCCACAGAAGCTGAGGCCACACTCCAGCACTGCACAGGGAGTGCCAGCCCTGCCCTCTGCTTACTGTCATCTGCTGCTTCCATCTGCCTCTTGTTTATGCTTCCTTTCCTGAACAGCACTGCACTGTACTTCAAAGCTCTGCTGCTCACCTCACTGCAGCTCGAAGCCTGCCAGCGCTGGGACCTTCTTTCCATGGGCATAGTAACAGGTGCAGTGGGAGAGGGAGATTGAACCAAATAGGAACAAATAATGGTTAGTCTTGAGGCTTTGGCTACCAAACTGGAAACAGGAGGAGTCTGTCTTTCTGCTGTGGCTGATGAATTTGTTGGACACAGGTTGGACTGTAGGGGGCCAAGCATACAGCCCTCTATATGGAAAATGTATGTTAGCAGTGAAGCGACACAGAAAACAGCACAGAAGTGGAGGTTTTAGTCTAATGACATCTCTCAAGTGCCTGGGTTCACCTGTACCTACAGCTGGTCAATTCATTTTGTGCTTCTGGGCTTCCAAACATGAGTCTTGACTAAGGCCTTTGGGCAATAACTTAAACTCTCTGCTTTAGTTTCCTGACCCGGAAAAATGCAATAATTACCCTAGCATCCTCAGAGACTGTTTATAAAAAGCAATGAATACAAAAGCATTTAGTAATTCATACATTGAAAGAGTAAACACTTGTTAATGCCTATTTTCCCCTTAATTATGGAGCGAAGCAGAGGCTATTCCAGTGCACAGCAGCTACAGAAGCAGACCTTGGTTCTTCTTTCGCCCTGCAGAGACTCTCCTAAAGTCTAATATGAGTTGAACAGACATGCCTGTTCTTTTACAATTCCTTTTCTAATTCAGATCTGAAGTTCTAAAAGTTCAAAGGAGTGTGTGGAGGGAAGATTATATCAAGCTCTCGGCTACAAAATGAATCACTGGTGTAAGAAGCAAGGGCTGGCTCTTCAAAGAGCTTTTCACATCCTACATCTTTGTCAAAGATACTTGAAAGCTAGATTTGGACAACTGTGAAGGAATTACAGCACAACAAAAGTTTATTTAGACAAAAAGCAGCATGGCACCCACCAGACAATAAACGCACATACTAAAAACACTGTCAGCGTGAGACCAGGGCACAAGGCCATCTCTTAGATTGGAGGATATGTATGGAATTGCAACAGGAGGAGCAAAGCGATTACCCGCAACTCCCGTGGCTAAGTTCTCAGGGCTCTGCTGAGTATAACTCTTCCTAGAGGGATCAGAAATGGGGGATTATTTCTACATGATCTAAGGAAAGGCCTGGTCACTCTCTAGAGGTGGCATCTGCTTGGCATTCTAAAGAAAAGCCTACAGTCCTCACACTCTGCTGACAAATAAAGACGTGTCACGTATATGTACTGACTCCTCACCATGGATGTAACGATTAGGTGCTGCAAATGTGTATAATAACAATAAAAATTAAAAACCAGAAATACAGATGGTTTCTAGAGTTTACAAATTCTGTTCAGTAATTTACTCTCCTCCCTTGTCTTTCTTCCTTCTCTCCTTCCCTCTCCCCGCCCCCTTACTTAAGCCTCTTTTTTTGTCATACTAAGAACTGAACCAGAGCCTTTGCACCAGCTACATGCACCTCCTTTTACATTCTGAGACAAGGTCTTGTTAAATCACTAAGTTGCCAAGACTGGGCTCACGCTTGCCATTCTCAGCCTCCCAGAGTGCTAGGATGGTAGGTATGCCCCACTACTCCCGCGCTTCTTTTCCAAAAGGAAATAGTTTTACATTCTTCTGGTTTAAAAAACAATATATGCTTGTTAACAAAGAAAGGGAGGTCAACAAGCATACAGAAGAAGGGAAACATACTTTTACAGGGAGAGAGAGAGGTTATTTATTATTTGAAGAAACTAGAATGGCACCACATTTCAAATATGTTTCTATAACCCACTTTTGGTTACCTAACAGTACGCATGGAGTGCTTTTTTCTAATGTTGGTAAATATAAGCCAACATTTTCCTCTCTGTTGTCATAATTTATGATGCTTCACACTAACAGGCACTCAGGAGTTTCCTCTCCAATTTTTTTTTTATTATTTTAAACAATGGGCCAAGTTTGCATCTGTAGTTAAATGATACAAAAATCTTTATGATAAAGATTTAAGTTAAACTCAAGATAAAATTAAAATCTTTAAGCTAAAGATTTATGCAGAAGACTTTCCTAGAAGTGCCATCACCTTGACACCTGATGCAGATGGCTCCAATTATTCCCCTGGGACTTGCCCTGGTTTTTTTTTTTTTTTTTTTTTTCTTTCCTATGCAGTAGATGGAGTGTGTGTACTATGTATTCTCATTCTTTTGAATTTCTTTCCATTCTCTTGACTTTGAGCATTATCTAAGGACAACAACATAGATTAGAAAGGACACCATAGGGAGTAGGAAAAACTGGACCTGGACATCTAAGAGAGGAGGAAGATTAGTGCACACATCATGTAACTCAAGCACTTGGATTTCTGTGACCCAGGTCAAGGTCAGAATTCTGTGATGTGACTGAATTTCCTAATAAATACACATGGATTAACAGAAGGAAATCATTAAAACTACTAAGAAGATGAAAATATTTTAATTAAACTAATACAAAATGTTCATATTCTGATTAATACTGAGTCCCTGACAGACGAGTAGCAGATGGCTTAGAAAAATGGTTTTGCAAATTGGCTGGATACATTTTGGACATGGCCTAATTTGCAGGAAGCTTCCCCACCATTGGATGCTATAAGTCCCCGGAAGTCTATCTGCCTTCTGGAAGGAGAGGATATCAATAAGGACACGGACTCTCAGTGTGACATACGCTGTCAGTGAGACTCTTGAACCGACTTTCTAAACCAACAACAAACACCTCCTTTATTTTGTTTTTTTTCCGGTACCGGGAACCGAACTCATGACCTTGCGCTTGCCAGGCAGGCGCTGTGCCGCTGAGCTAAATCCCCAGCCCCAAACACCTCCTTTTAACAAATAGCCTTATTTGCTGTAGTTCGTTCTTTCACAGAAGCCAGGTATCTGGGAAGCTCAAGGACTTGGACCATTTGCCTTTCCAGAAGCAGATCCGTGCTGGACCAGTCTTTGCATTTGCTGTCTTGTCAGCACGGAATCCCAATTCTTACTTGCTTCTGAGGTCTAATGGAAATGCAGCCTCATCTGCAAGGTCTCCCTTGATCCCCAACCCCACAGTGCTGGGGCTGGTTTGAGCTCCTTTATGAACAAACGCAGACCTTAGCTTCTGCTTGCAGCTAACTGTGTGGCTATTAGGTGTGTACCAGTTTTCCCACTGGGCCGAGAGAGGGCAGTTTATGTACCCTACTTATTTTACTTGTCATAGTCATGGTGATCTAGAGGAACACATTTATATACAGAGATGGATGCACAGCAAGGGATTTATTAGGCTGGTTTGTAAGATCAGAAGCAGAAGAGTCCCAGTGGTCTTCCGATGAGTTACAGATGAAGAATCCAAAATAGCCGGAATCCAAAATTCTGGAGAGCCAGAGGATCCAAGAGCAGTTGAGGGTCAAAGGCCTGGAGGCTCACTGCCGAGTTCCCCGTGTGAGTCTGTGTCAGCAAAGGGAAGAGTCTGTTGGAAGGCTGAAGAGTGTGCTGGAATCCTAAAGGAACCAGAGACCCATGGCTGAAGGCAAAAGTGAAGTCCGGAGCTCCTCCAAAGAAGGTGTGAAATCCGTCCTTCTTCTTTTGCTTTGATTCTGTCCAGTCACCCAAACTACTGGCTGGTGCCACCCACCCCAGGGCGGGTCTTCCTTCCACATCCAGGGCGGGTCTTCCTTCCACGTCCAGGGCGGATCTTCCTTCCTCAGTCAGCTGGCCTCTGTGTCAGTCCATACACACATCCAGAATTTACTGATCAGCTAGGCAGTTCTTATTCAGATCAAGTTGACATATCACAATTAAGGACTGATTACACAAGTATCTCGTCACACTGGGCTTCATCCCTGTCACAATTTAACTGCAAAGTAAGAGGATAAAGCTGGACAGTAAGATGATACCATTAACACATGGTTAGTGAATTGAGACAATATTTCTTTACCTCTCTTCCATTTTTTCCCACAAAGTATTCAAGGCACACATGGATAAGAAAACACCAAACAAATCCATAATGCCTCATTACTGTTCTTGGTTCATGGGTAAAAGAAGCACCGACTTAAAAATAGGGATTCTCTGAGATTACGTAATCTATCCAGTGTCCCAGCAGCAAGGAACAAATATTTGAATTTAGGTCTGTCTGATTCCACAGATTAACCTCTTAATAATGGCCATCTCCTGCCTCGAGATCTCCACTTACAGTAGAATAAAGCTGTGAGATCTGAAATCTATTCTAAAAGAAACTTCAAAAGTGAATGAGTAGAAAAGCTCACATCAACTTCATCCACTTTTACAACAGTTTCAGTGAAAACAGGTTCTCTTTGATAGTGTAGAGGAGACTAAAAAAGTCCCAGCAGTGACAGTTTCGGTGGGATGAGCCATTCCAGTCTGCCATGTGTCTTTATGCTCCAAGGCGGGGTCTTGCTGGATGGAGGTAGAAATAGTAGTTTTAAGTGGATACGCTGTGTTTTAATAAAGGCAAAAGCATCAACAAACCTTTTAATCACCAAATCAACATGCAAAAATTAAGATAAATTACACTTGAAAATAATAGAGTTATGAATGCACAAAGGCTAATTGAATTATTATAGAGTGTTCTAGGAGAAGCACAAAGGAAAACCGGCCCCAGCTCCTTCCATGGTGTTCCCTGGCTGAAGGTGAGGCCACTCCTAGCAGAGGGCCATTGGGGATGAAACCAGAAGCAGAAGCCTTGGGATGGTCCATGCCATGGTTGCCGAGTAGACCCAGGCTGCCTGGTGCCCTTGATACTGATACAGGACGCCCACACCTGCTCCCACACGGAAGCTCACCATGCTCAGGTCCCCCTGCAGGCTCCCTGTGGAACCTCTGAACCATCTTCATGCTCCAGTATCCACCGCAGACCTCAGTTCATGTCTCCTCCCTGCCACACTTCCGAGGGGTCTATTTGCTTCTGCGGACAAGAGTTTGTCATTCACTCATCAAATACTTTACAGAGCACCCATGATGACCCTGCAAATGTTCTAAACTCTGGGGATGCATCGCTTTTGTACATAGTCTTGGTGCCCACACAGTATGAATTCTCGTGAAAGAGAAAGAATGCAGAAAGAAATAATTAGCCATAGAATCTGCTCTCAGTGCAGGATGGGCTGAGGAACAATAAAACAATATATGGGGATGGAAAAGGATGAGATTTATTAGTTTAAGTAGAGCAGTGGGAAGATATCTCAGCAATGGGGTGACACAGAAGCAGAGACTAGAATAAATGGAGAAAATGTGTCATGTGAGTGTCATGGGAGAGTGTGTTAGGGACAGAGGCAAGAGTACATGCCAAGGCCCTGAGGCAGAGAAAGAGTTACATATTTTCAAGAAGAAATGAGAATAATGGTTCTGCAGTGGACTAATCAGGGCTGGGAATAAGCTATGTGTTTGCAGAGTTAGAGAGCAGATAAAATAAAAGTTGGGAGGGATACAAGAAAAGGAGCAAGAGGCCCTGGTGAGGACTGATGTTGGTGTTGACTCAACAGTGGGGTAGAGATGTGGAATGATCAGCTCTGAGCTACATTTTGGAACACAACACACAAGATTTGAACTTATCAGATTGCTGATAAGTTCAGTATCAAAAGAGAAAGGGAGATTTCCAAGATGACTCTAAGACCAGCCAAACTGATTAATACCTTGCTCCAAGACCTTAGCATGGATCTTCCATCCAGGATTTTCATCCAGTTCCATCCAGGAGTTCTGTGCTGCCATCGGTCTTTGAGGAATCCAGAAAAGTGTACTCAAAGGGAAGACTGGCCATGCATTCATTTGGCCCTGTGCTTATTCTACAACATCCTTTTCTGCACTGGGGCCCTGCGGTAGGGAGTGGGGGATAAATGCAAACAGAACAAGGATTCAATGAAAACTGATAAAGAAGAAAATGCACCAAAAAGCTACTGAAATTGTGAGGGTCTCGGAACTGTCACACAGATGGAGAACTTGGTTTCTGACACGCCTACATCGTGACCTCCTCCTGAGTAGTTTTCCAGTCTTGGAAATATTGGCATTTGGGGCCTAACAACATATTTCTGCAGAGATGGATGTATCTGGTCCCCACAAGAGGGTTAGCAGCATCCCTGGCTTCTACTTACCACACTGCAGTAGCCCTGGACCAATGATGCTTTCAGGTCTTGTCAAATGTCTCTAGGGTAGGAAATCACCTTGGTTAAGAACCGTTGCCATGGTGCATTGTAGACTTGTTCAGGGTGCCAGATTCTAAGCAGGAAGGGAATATACTCACAAGTCTTGTGTAACAGATGTGAATGGGTAGAGTACCATCAAGACTGCTTTCAATGTCAGCACCTGCAAGGGAATTTCCCAGGTCCTTCCAGGTGGAAAAGAACCTTCCTTCCTGTGAATCTCTAGAGTATTCAACATGTTCTACCTGCTGTGTCCCTTTCAGTACACCTGTAACTACCCCTTTGGTGCTTACTAAGCTGTGTGCCAATGCAGACTAAGTATTTTGCTTATTATCTTCTTTGTTACTGCCCATTTTTTCATTTAGATTCCAGCTCACTTATATTCTCTGGGGAAGCTGCCAGATTAAATCTTCTGAAGCTCCATCCTACCTTGCCCCATTTTATAGTACCCGTTTTGTTAGTAATTATATTTATATTTAAGGAATAATTTGATAATATGTTTCATTCATGGGAATATGACCTCCACTCAGGTGAAATTTTGGCTATTTTTGCACAATATTTAGCTCCAGTCCTTAGCATTGTATTCAGGCTGTGAGACTCAAAGATTGTTGAATAAACAAATGATTAATTAAGATAATGTTAGCAAAATGTCTTGCAAAACATAGTCACAGCACATGATCAGTGATGATTGTGACATCATTTAGTTATTACTATTATTGCCATTATTTGTAGTGCTGGCAGGGAGACGAGTACTCATATTTGCAAATTGATGTCCCCTGATGAATTCTCTCCCTTGTTCCTTCTTTTTGTCCTCTTTCCATTTCCCGCCCTGTAGCCTATCATAGTCCTGAGCTACACAAAATAAGCTTTCTCTTACGAAATTCAGGATTTCACGAAAGAGCAAACGTGAAAACCTCATAGAAACCCGAACTACCATTGATTACAGAGACTTTTGTTGGTTTTGCCAGGTACAAATGAGAGGGATCTAGATCCACCTGGGTAAGACTGCAGCGAGAGCTTCTGCAGATGGTTGAGCCACACATCAGCCTTCTATCAAGGTGCCCTGTGGGATGTTTGCAGTCTGAATGATTAAGGCGAAGACAGATGTCCTGGGGCTAAGTAGGGCAGCCGGAGCAAGGAGGGAAACCTACCAGCGCCAAGGTCTCCTTTGCAGCTGTAGTCACATGTCACAGGCAATTGGACTGGGTGCTCAAACTTAAAGTGCAATTCAATTGTCTGCAAAATCAGAGCCCAAATGAGTTGTCCTGTTGGCTTCCGGAAAGTCTTGCCATCCAGGAGGAGTGACCTAGGGCATTTCTCTTCCTTTTGATTTCTTCGAACAATCCATTTGACAGGCAATGGCTATCGGAAGACAAATAGCAAGTTCCATTTATCAGCCTCAGGGATAGTTAAGGGTGAATAACTGTCATTGGGTGGAGTGGGCCATACGTCTCACATGAGCAGTCCGTTCCTGGTTCACAGTCCAGGTGTCTCTGACCTGACACCTCCTGCTCAGAAAGAGGTACACTGGGAGACCAGCCGCCATACAAAATCTGAACCCCCAAATCACCTTGGGATACATGAAACACTGGCGCTTCCAGACGCTCTTCTTATCCTCCCCACCTAGTGACAGCTAGAAACACCTGATGATCTAAAGATGACTTTCATGACCAGAAAATAAAGTATCAAACCAGTCTCTGCTCTGTACCTGCCTGAGGAGGACAGGCATGTCTTCCTCCAACGCGGTTAAGCTACACGCACAGAGTTCCCCTTGAGTTGACACCTTTATCTAAAGCACAGGCTGTTGTCTCCAATCTACTTTTTTAGGCTTAAGCCCTCTCTCTCCACCGCTTTTTAATGCAGATTTCTGCCAGGTGTTAATGCTGCACTAGATACAGGTAAGCTTCTCTGATTAAAACAATAATCTTGACCTCCTACATTCATCCTTACATCAGCTCCTGAGATTCCTCTTTGGAACGTGATGGCATCTTCGACGACTAACTTGAAAACCATTGCACTGAATCACCTTCCTAGAAATCTGCAGGTCTACAGCAACAAAGACCGTGAGAACCTGATCTTGTTCTCTTTGGAGAAGACGGGCCCTGGTCAGCTCTCCCTAACACAACTGGGTACAGAATCCAGACTTCTGATGACTCGGTCTTTAAGCTCATGGCTGGTCACCCCGGGTAAAAGCACTTGAGGCCCTAGCTCTCCTCTGTCCTTGAAGCCATGTATGTTGGCACAGGCTTCCTGCAAGTAGAGGCAGGAATATATTTTCCTAATTTGTATAAATGCACAAGGTAACAGCTCCCATCTAATGCTTCAGGCTTCTCTGTCTCTCCCT